TCAGCTGCGCTCCTGGCAACGATGCTGTCCGACGCGGCACGGCACAGACATGCCAGCGGCTAGGACTTCGACAGACTCCCTTCCGCGGCTACATGTCCCGTTGGAACCAGTACGGCGGCTTCTTCCACGACCACTTTGCTTGGGTGCTTGCCCGACAGTCTACATCACCATCGTCCTGGCCGCAATGTAAGTCGGGCTCGTCACCAAAATCCTCGCTGGCAACGACGAGTGCCAATCTGCGTCATATGGCTTTGCCGTCTTTGCTATTCTGGGGCCACTCATTGTTGCCTGGCTTATTATCCTTTCATTCTGCTGTATCTTTATATATAACGGGATTGGGGCCGTCAATATCAAGAAGAATCGCCATGCCAAGGTCAAATTCCAGTGTAGGATGATTCCAGGACCTGAATTGGATATTTGACTCAAGCGACCTAAATCTGTTTGGGTGGATCGCCTTCTTTCCAAAATACGGGCATGGGCACTCTGAATACAAATCTGACAAGTTTTAAATATTTGTTATAATCTATTTTCTTCATTGAAAGATCTCAGTGCACTAACATAGTCCACCCGCAGAAGCACACGTGAGCTTTGGCCAGATCGGAACTGGACAATCACTGCCCATGCCTTGAGTGTTCTTTGTTTGGTTGTCAAAAATCTTACCAGCCGTTTCTGTTACTCTGTCATTTAAGTCTGCAAGCTTACAAATAAGACTGTTTTATAACATCAGGAACAATGGGCGCCATCTTAGCTTGTCTCATTCTTGGCGGTCGTGTTTTGAGCCTCCGTAGTACCCTCTGGTCCGGCGCTGAACACTTCTCAGAAAATCACCAACAAGGCCAAGTTTGGCCATTTTTTCCATTCAATCATTCAGAAGAATATTTCGTTATATTACTGTACCAAATGTTGAGCAAGATAACATCCTTTCTCCGCCTTCGTCTTTCACCATCACCCCGTCGAATCGTCACAACAAACGACAGCTTAACAACCCAAACACACGACACAGCAACAAATGGACAAATATCTACTGCATACCAACCACTTCTCTCCTACGAAGACATCCCCCAATGGTGCCGAGACAACAAGCACATTAAACAAGGTTACCGACCTGCGTCTGGCTCCGTCGCCGCTTCGTTCCGCAGTCTGCTCTACTTGCACAACGAGTCCGTAAATATCTATAGCCACCTCTTGCCTGCTCTAGCCTTCATAATTGGCGAGGGCATTATCTTGCGACACCTTCACGCAAAGTACGCCAATATTACCATCCAAGACGACATTATCTTTACGCTTTTCATTATCACTGCCGTCGTATGCCTTTGCTTCTCGGCTTGTTATCACACGTTGACGAACCATTCCAAATCCGTGGATAGTATATGGCTACGAATCGACTTCGTTGGCATCATATTACTTACTTTGGGCGATTTTATTTCCGGTATATACATGGTGTTTTGGTGCGAGGGTACTCTACGAATTATTTACTGGACTATGGTACCGAAGATTCAGTCCCCTACTTGTTCGTATGTAAACTTACCAGATGTGTAGATTGCTACTCTTGGCGTCCTCGATGTGTGCATTCTTCTAAGTCCAAGGTTTCAAGGCCGCTCGTGGCGCAAGTTTCGAGTTTTGTGCTTTGCGGGAACCGGCTTATCTGGCTTTGCGCCTCTGATCCATGGTGTTTGTTTATTTGGGCTCTCGCAAATGATTAGACAGTCAGGGATGCCTTATTATCTTGCTGAAGGGGCTTGTTTGGCGCTGGGTGCTTTGATATACACGGTGAGTTTTGTTAGAACTTGGGGAAAGAAGGCTTGCTAAATTCCGTAGACGAGATTTCCCGAGTGTTTGAAGCCAGGCAGATTTGACTTTTACGGAGCATCGCATCAGTTGTTTCATATATTGGTTGTTGCTGCGACGGTTATACAACTTGTGGGGATCCTGCATGCTTTTGATTATAATTACAATCATCGGGTTTGTTTACCATCTTGAGGTCGTCTGGGGTGCATTTCTAAGTTTACGCTGGGATGTACCCGTTGGCAACTAAG